TGATGGTTTCGTCACACTGCCGACTCATGTTCATCTTGGAGTCCACTAGGACTCCAAGATCCCTTTCCACTTCCGTGCCACCCAGCAGGTCATTCCCTAGGCTGTAGGTGTGCTAGACATTTTTCCTCCCTAGGTGCAGCACTTTGCATTTCTCCTTGTTGAACTGCATTCTGTTGTTTTCTGCCCACTTGTCTAACCTGTCCAGGTCTGCTTGCAGCTGTTCCCTGCCCTCCAGTGTGTCCACTTCTCCCCATAGCTTTGTGTCATCTGCAAACTTGGACAGAGTACATTTCACTCCCTCGTCCAAGTCGCTGATGAAGACATTAAAGAGTATCGGTCCAAGGACTGAGCCCTGCGGGACCCCACTGCCCACACCCTTCCAGGTCGAAGCCGACCCATCCACCACGACTCTCTGGGTGCGACCTTCCAGCCAATTCGCCACCCACTGGGCTGCGTAGTCATCCAAGTCACAGCCTCTTAACTTGTTCACCAGTATGGGGTGGGATACCGTATCAAAGGCCTTCCTGAAGTCTAAGTATACGGCATCCACCCCTCCTCCTGTGTCCAGGCATTTCGTAACCTGGTCATAAAAAGAGACTAGATTAGTCAGGCATGATCTGCCTGCTATGAACCCGTGCTGGTTTCCCCTCAGCATAATTTGTCCTGCTGGGCTCTCGCAAATGTGAGCCTTGATAATTTTTTCAGTTGGATACTAAAGTCTGTTCATTAAATTAATTTTCAACCTCTGTCTACTATGCCTTTAAGAGACTTTTCCTCCTTGACGGACAGACAAGGCCCCAGACAGAAACAGCTAGCACACACAAATTTCCACAAAAATCAATGAGCTAAGCCTTGCTTTTTCTATCAATAGGCATTTGGTCCTGGTTTCAGAGCAGGATGAAACCAACTGTGTGTGGAAAATGCTTGGATCTCTTGCAGACGGCTCTCAACTGCCTGCAGCATCACACCTTATTAGTACCTTAAACACACACAGCTGCATTAACTAGGTCTTTTATTATAAAATACTTAGCAGTATCATTGAAGCAGAAGTAGGCTTGGCTTTATACTTTTAACAGACTTGTCTTTGTCCTTAAAGTATTTCAAGATGAATAAACTTAATTTGAAATAATTTACAGTCCTTTGATTCTCACATTACTGATTTGAATATTTGTTATGATGTTTCTAATTAGATGAGTTTGACAGTGGATTTTTCCCTTCCCCATTCACTGACACACTCACCTGTTAGCATAATCTCATACAAAATACTCAATTGTATAAGGCAGTAACTTCGGTAAGAACAAGAGATGCCAGTGAAATACCTTGTTTCAGTTATTAAAATAATTACTGGTGTAATTTCACTGTAGACAACTGTACTAAAGGCAATGAAGGGCAGGCCACAGTTAAAAAGCTACATTTGCATTTCCAGTGCAGGTCCAATTTTGGCTCAGTTTCCAAACTGACAGGTTAAAATGACAATATTGGTGGAATTGTCCTAGCAAATTTAAGTAAATAAGGTGCGGATTGTTGATGCATCAGACAAATGAAGATACAACAATAGATAAGAGGTGTATCAAGATACAGAAGGGATTGCTGGCAAGGGGAGGGAAGAAACTGTTGAGAACAGTAGTCC